TGAGGACTTCAACTTGTTTCTTCCAATTGAACTGGTTTTTCCAGTAGGACACAACCTTCCTGAGATGCACCGAGTTAGTTCCATAATGGAAGAAACTGTTCTCCAGTGGCTCAGTGAATCGAGCCTGGTCAAGTCTCCTGAATAAATCCTACAGGGAAGGAGAGAGAAGAGACATTAAAAGCATGTCTGCTCTCTTTGGATGCATGTGGTTTCTAGTTATTCCCACAGGGAACGAGAACAATGGAAATAACATTTCTAATTAGACCCCTGTCACTTTTGCTGATGCTCTGTCAGCTGTTCCCGTTCTTTTCCTCCTGCAGGTGGCCTCCTTCCTCTTCCACTCACAGCTGTTCCAGCCTTTGTTCCGCAGGGCTGCCTAACCTGTCTGCCAGGCTGGGAACCACAGAGGGCAAGATGCTCTGCTGGCACTCCTGTGGCTTCAAGGGGTAAGTCTTGCTGCCTTTCCTGGGTACTTCCCTCGCAGTCTATGCATGGATCTGGCCCAAACCTTTTCCTTCCCTTCCCAAACCCAGAGGTGGGAGGTCTTCACCCGGAAACATTCAGAAGGATTTTGCATAGACAGAAAGTTGGTGAAACCAGACTGAAATTGAAGTTTGTCCATCTGGAATAACAATGACAGTCACGTTCCCACTGCATTTCAGGGCTGCAGGGGATGCTGGCGACACTGCAAGATCGCTCCAAAGTCCCTCTGCAGGGAAGGACTGAGCCAAGAGCCCCTTCCTACTGCAAACACAACCACAGAGTAGCTGAAAGGTAGGTCTGGAAATCTAATCCTGCTCAATCATTTTTAACTTAGAAATTATCCATCTTAGGGTCTGCAGTGTAAGAGGAAAACAAAATGGAGACCAAGGTCTTTTGATATTACTAAGAAGGGTAAGCAAAGTGTTAAAAAACCAGGCTTTGCTGAGAAATTAGGAATCTATTATAAATTAATAATATGAGCAATCCCATGAGTATTGTTTGAACCATGACTCCACAAAGATCTATGAAATTGTTCCATCCCTGGCTTAAACACACACAATCAAAATCTTTCTATCCAACAAATTCTGCAACGTATGTGTTTACTGTAATTACCACAGTAATTTAGTGTTGACCAAAGTAGACTATTAATTACAGAAGAATCAGCATCCAACACAGCTGCAAACATAAAGCAGTCAAGAAAATGAGGTATTTGTAATTGCTTCTGAAAGAAAGGGGGGAAAAAGACATTGTTCTTATTCTGGTCTACACAAACTGAGGAAAATGCATAAACAGAAAAACAGAGTTGAGTAATCTGTAATGTGATTTTTATGTTTAATTAGGCTTTACAGAGTAGGTTTATTTATCAGCAATCATGCAAGAGCTATCTGAGAACAAAATTATACTGTGAGATCTGTCTATTTATACCTATTTTCTGAGGGACTGAACAATCCCTTCCCCCAACACCTGGACATCACTGGAACTCTGTTGGTTCAATTTAAAAATTACTTCCAAACAAGTTCTGCATCTGTTTGGCCATTTCTTCCTTCCCTCCCCCCCAGTCCAGAGATTTGCTTACACTCAGCTCTTCCTCTGCAGTCTCCACCTTAAATGGTCGAATACTTGAGTCTTCTTTAGTCACAGGCTTTTGTCCTCTGCCCCACCACCCATCTTTGAAGGGCAGAGTCTCTTCATCCTTCTTGGAAAACAAGAAGTAGATGAGGAGTGTCCCCAGGACCAGGAACACCTCGAGCAGCATAATGTCTGCAAGAGAAGAACAGGACTGTGGTGAGCCCAGTCAGCTCAGAGACACACGAATTCTTGGTGAAGACTTTTCCCTTTTCAGATAGGATTCCAGCTACGGGATGTCCTGGCACTCACATGATAGCAATACTTCTGTGAAATTTCTGAAATAGAATGTTTCAACCTACCCAAATGAGGAAGAATTGTTTTAAATAAAAGACACATAATAAAAACAGAGCTCAAAGTAAGTTAAATAGATAATGTGGTAATTAAATAGTCATTATAATGTAAATATAACATAATAATTACAATTATACAATTCACATTTAATGCTTTCTCTTCCTCTGAAGTTCTAGATTCCCCACAAATCCCAGGGCAGAGCATCTCTTCAGCAAGGCTTACAAGTCTACTGCTGTAGATTCAGAGGAAAAGAAAAGCAAAACAGAATATATATATATATATACAGAATAAAAAGTGAACAGCATGAGGGCAGCCACCTTGTACCTCCCAGTCATCCAGGACGTGGAGCAGGGATATATTTGCACAACCCTTGAACAACAGTGTAAAGGGCAGTCAGACTTCCCTTTCCTTCTCCCTGTGAACTGTTCTAAAGAGAAAACAAAAGCCCATGCTCTAAAATGTGATCACATTGCCAAGTGACAAAATTCTGTCAAGGTTCTGAGCAACCTGACTTCACAGCACATCTGCATAACCCAGCTGCAGGGCTGCTGTGCTTCAGTCAAACAGAACACCTCAACAAAAAAAAAAAAAAAAAAAAAAAAAAAAAAAAAAAAAAACCAAAAAAAAACCACTTAGACTAGTCTTTAATAATTAATGTTTTCAAGCATGCCTTTAAGTGTAAGAAACGTTTGTAAGGTGGTTTGGGGAACAGTACTGTCATCATTTTAATGCATTGTTTTAAAGAATGTCATGCTTCAAACGCTCATTTGCTGGGGAATTACTAAGACATCAAGTATTCAAAACTTCTGTAGGGCAAGGATTGTTTATGACCCAGAACGTCTTCATCTCTCTAGAGCCAGAAGGTTTTGTTGGTTTTGCTGCTGCAGAGTAATTTGATGCTCTGGAATGGCTCAAATAGTCATCAGAATGCACCAAATTTACTCCTGGATCAAAACAGGAATTTTAGCACAAGTTAACAGGAATTCACAGGATTAGAGCAGGAATGAAACTGAATGGAATTGTTTAAGTGCCTTTATGTGACAGGACAGGTTTTAGTCAACTTCATGAGTTTGATTTTCTAATGGCTGACCATAAATAAATAAACATGTAAGTCAAGACAAGCACCCATGAAACATATGTGCAGATTGAACATTTGTCCAGGCACTGTGCAGATTGAACAAGCTAAAAGAAAAAAAAAAAAAAAAAGAAAAAAATTCTATTTTTTACACATGCAAGTGCTACAGCCTTGAAAGTGCCTGAATCCCCAGAGGTTGGAACTATTGGGAATGATAGGCACTGAAAAAGCTTGATTTGTTTATTTGTTTCACTGGTGCTTCCATAATTTCTGCCACTTGTTTTTCTTCACAATGTTATCTGGAGCACAAGACAACGCTCTTTTCCCACCTTTACAACACCCAGGCCATAACTCACCCCAGAATTAAAAAGTTTATCCAATTTCAGTTTACCTCAGCACACAAACCAATGCGGTTTAGGAGCATCCTGAGCACAGTTAAATTTTACTGCAAAGCACAACTGGAGGGGCTTCTAGAAACCTCAGAGCACTTTACACAGAAACGATACCTACCACAGCATTTTATAACATTTCTACTCTTAAGCCTTCATGGAGAAAAACAGCAGCTTCCCCTAAATCACACCTCAACTTGGGCCATGTCTGGGCTAGAAAGGGCCACCACCATAACTGTGTGAGCACCACACAGAGAAATCCCAACTCTTGGCCAAGTCTGACGTGTTTACAGAGCCCCCCAGCAAACAGAAGCACTCGGGTCAGTGCCAGCCCCGTGGCTCAGGATGGGCTCTCCCAAACCAGAGCTCCCTGTGCCCTGGCTCTGCTGCATCAGCACCACAGCCCCTGCCAGCACAGACACAGGGGCACAGCCCCAGCACAGAGCTGCTCTGCCCAGAGCTGGACCTCGGCCACAAACCCTCATGGCCACACCCAGAGCTACAGAACCATTTCTGCTCCCTCCTGCTATGTATGATTATAATTTGAGCCGATGAAATATTGTTGTATTGAATCAAGGGAAATATGATTTGGCATGTATAATATTTAGTTATTACAAAATACACGCACCAGCTCTGTGAGCTGCCCCTCCACATATTGGTTACACCAGAACTGGTTTTCTTGGCCAATGCCCCATTTACAATCTAACACATGTGGCTAGTCTGGAGATGGGCTGTCCCAAAAGGATACTGGAACGCCTGGGAGCTGATCATCCTGGCAAGGACCCGAGATTGGGATCGCTGGAGTCCTCCGGGCTGATACATCTGAATGCTGTGGTTCCCATAACCTCATCAGGAAAAATCGTCCACACCTGGACCTGGATTGTTCAACCCCCGGAGAAAAGAACTTTATGAATATGTGGGACTCCGACTAGAAAGAAAAGGTGGATTGCCAAAATCCTGGCCTCGGGCAGAAAATTTCCTATAAGAACTGCAGGGTCCGGGAGGTCCGTGTGTGTGTCCAGGGGAACCTCTGCCAGAGGCTCCTTCCTGTCCCACACCCAGCACCGATCCCGAGCTCAGCACTGCCCTTTTCCTTGTGGCTGGCTCAGAGAGAATTCAATCCTAAATAAATTTTTTATTATTTCATTTTTAATTTGGCTGGACTAATTTTCATTTATAACACTCCCATCTCTTCTCAAAGACACTTGAGAAAGCAGAATTTTTGCAGCAGAAGATCTGGGGAGGGATTGAGTGCAAATGTGCATATTTTGCCTTCACCCTGGACCATATGTGGAAGGAACTTGCTGTGTGAACAGACATCCATTTTTACAGCGAATTCCAAACAGATTTGAGGATGAGTTTGTTTGCAATCCAGTAAGTGCCAGAACTAGCTTCAGGTCCCACAGGAATCCTGATTTCCACTGCAGATAGTTGGGGCTGGTGACAAATTGATTTGCATGAGATGTCATCCTGACTTGGAAGAAGCCACCTCTGATATTGGTTGGGTTACTTTTTGCTAACAGAGAGACTCTCTGTATTCAATCTCTCCCAGTTCCCTTGAAAATGCCTGTAAAATTCCTGATGATAATGGACACAGGCCCCAGAGCTCCAAGTGTGTCACATTTTGCTGTGGGTGCCCGGGAAGGGAAGGACCAAGTGCATCAGCAGTACTGTAACTCTCACCAGCTCACCCAAGGGGAATTTTGTGAGGGATGAGCTGCTGGGATGCAGCATGTTCCTACCAGCAGCTCCAGCCCGGGCCCAGAGGAGCCACTCAGAGCCCTGATTTCCCAAGTTCATTATTCTAGCTGCTTCTCTGGAGCTCTCCTGTGTTGTTTGAGCAGCACAAAGCAGCCTCAGTTGTGAGGCATCTGCACATGAATTTTCTCCACTAATCACTGCTGGGATCTGTGGTGAAATGGAAGTTATCAGCTCCTTAACACTTGTTCCACGATGCAGCAATACAGCACCATGATGTGGAAGGACAAACAGGTACAGTGACACGTTTCTACCCTCAGTTTTCAGAGATGTCAACAACAAAGTGCTGGTGGTTTTATTGTCTGAAGTCTCTTGATGCAACCACGCTGGCCTGTTGCCTTTATAAACGAGTGCTTCAAAGGGAGTTAATGCTTTGGTTTGGCTTTTTCCTCTTTTTATGTGACCAAAGGCAAGACCTGAGAAAGAAATATTTCCATTTATTCCATGGTACTTATGGTCCAAGACTTTGCTGTACCTGAGACTGGATATTGTTTACAGACAACACTTAAATATCTCAGAAAGTACTTTTATCCTAAAGACTTCAAGGAGGAATGCTTTTGGTTTGCTGCTTTAGAAACCTGTTTTCAAAGAAAAATGTTGAAATGCAATGGTCCAGTAAATAGCCCAAAACCAAGCTCCTCTTGCAGAAGGCCAAGCACATCTCATGAAATATGTTTTCAAGAAAACCCCACAACTTCCTTACAGTGTCTTACAGCCCCCTATTGGAAACACTCCTGGTTTTCAGCACCTTTCTGCATTTTGATTTGTCCCCTATCTGTGCATTAACATCAGAGCTAAGGGGTCCACAGGAGCAGAGCAATTATTATTTACATCAAAGCTATGTCCTGTCTCTTGCTTTGTCTTCATCAATACACAGGAAGAGATGCGCCGGAGAACCCTGCTCTTCATTTTCAGAGAGGTCATCTATGAAAAAACATCATGGTAAAATCCCCCTCTCCTTCTATGAGCAACCATCCATCTTAGCCTTGCAGCATTAGAATCCTTCTGAAACATGTTTTTTGAGAAATAAACAACTGTGCAGACCTTCAACTTAATGCTGGAAATACCTTCTGGCCCAAACACAACCCAGCTGCAAGGAATGATGCACAACACCCACAGCTTGAGGGTGCTACCAAACCTTGCCAGTGCAAAACTGCTGCTGCATGGCTGAAGCGAGAGTTGTGAGACTCTGCTGTTTTCAGAGCTAATCATGGTTTAGGGTTAATAATATTTTCTCTCTGAAAATGGCTTACCAGCACACTGTGAGGGAGCTCAGAGCACTTGGCACACTCTGTGAGATACGAGGTTTATTGATTAATAATTACCCTGCAGGAGAAATAACAGCTCAATTTAAGTGATTTTGCTGTTTCTTTTTGTTCCCTTACATAAAGTCCTGTATCAGGCTTTACCAAAAAGGCAGCTCTCCTCTGCTGCACCTTTGTTTACATGCTGGTTTGCCCAAAGAGCAGCAATTGCAGGTTACTCTTCCCAAGAGACCTGAAGGAAAAACAACCCCACTGAAGCACTTCAAAAACTCATGACACCTGTAACAGAGCCCCTGAGCACTGCCACAGCCTAAAAAGGACTAAGACATGGCACAGTCCTCACAGCTTCACCCTCAGTCTGCGTCCTGCTATCTCCAGGCATCACATTTTTGCCATCATGTAGCTCCAGCAACAGACAGAAAACCACCAAGTCACTCGTAGAAGAAAATCTTCCTATTTCTGTAGTTTATGGAGCATTATGACAAGCTAGAAAATAGCTTAGCAACGCAGAAATTGCTTTGCCTACAAGTGATAACATCTCCCAGGTGAGCATGAAATGATGCATTAACATTGTAGGGGAGGAGGAGGAGCAGGCATCGGATGAAATAAAGCGTCCTGTGCAGGAAGGCAAATCAAAGACAGGAAATACAAATCCAACAGAGTTTCTGGCTTGTCTCGATAAGAAATTTAGCATTTACATATTTTATTGCCACAAGGAGGTGGAACACAATGCTATCTCCAAAACAGCAGGAAGAGATTATATCATCCTATTTTACTTTTTTTTTTTTCCCTAGACTGTTCACAATCAGAAATTAACCAGTACAGAAGGAACTTAATTAGAAGGCTGCAAGCAAGGAGTGAGGTTGTGTCCCCAAAGCAGTGAAACCTCAGTGCCTCCCCCAGGATGGGGCATGCTGCTCCCAGTCAGGGTTGGGTGTTCCCTGCTGAGGAACACCCCACACCTATGGCACAGGCACTGCTCCCGTGCAGCGCCTCATCTTCTTAGTCCCTTGGACAACAGGAACAAGCAACAGGGCCAGTTTAAGCTCTGGGGGTGCCCATCTGCATCACCCAGAGCTTGCACTTACAGCACCTGTCTTTGAGGCACACTACTCCAGAGGACTGTTTGAGCACCTTGCACAACACATTCCCACCTCATTTTTCCTACAATTAAAATCTGTTGTTAACTCTGAAAGTCCACAGGCACTGAGACCCAAGTCTAACTAAGCATAAAAGAAAAGTAGTATGAGATTAAGTTCACTGTTATCCATTTTGCCTCATCCAGGGGCAGAATGTATGTAACCACTGGCCAGTCAAAGCTCATATCCCAATCATTATTTAAAATACTGCATACCACTTTCTTAAGAGGAAGAAACTCAATTTACAAGAACACATATCTATGCAACATTACTTGTTCTTTCAAAGCTATGCCCTACACATTATTCTGTGCTGCTTAAAAATGATTTGTTTACCTCAATTTTCCTTATTTTGCTTCTATTATGTTTGAACAAACCCACTCTCTTTCAAGAGTCTAAAAAAAGCTGTTGGGCTACATAAACACAACCTGACAGAATCCAGCTTGGGATCTGTGTGATGCCCATTAATGTGATCTAACGACTGAGTGCATGATTCAGAAGAAAGGAGATGCACTCTTCATCTGCAATAATTTCTGTTTAAGACTCTGCAGACAAAAGGCAAGAAAGGACTCTTAAATCAGCACTGTTCAGTCATGAAAATTAAGGGTGAAAGAACTGTTCAAACTACCAGAATAATGCATTAAGGTGAGAGCATGCAAAGATTTTATCCTATTTATCCTATCCAGCCTTTACTCTATTTAACGACCCTCAAATCCCAAGAACAGGTTTTTTGCACAGGTGCAGAGAAGTGACAACAGCCTGGCATACAATGGAGGAGGAACACAGCTGAAAGCTCTCTCAAATCCCTTCCTCTGGTTAAAAGAGGGAAGGATACCATGCCAGTAACAAGTTTTTTTAACAATTCTTAGCCACTATCCAGCCAACTAAGTGACACAGTCCAAGAGAGTCCAAATAACATCTTGAGCTTTACTTCAACATTTCATTCCTAGTGCCTGCAAAGAAATTATGAACAGCACATGGTTCTGTTTTGCCTTCCACTAGAGTCTCTAGCGATAATGAGGTTCACCTCTTCATCCTGTGCCAGCATCTGCATTTTCTGAGGAGGTGGAAATGAACCAAAAGAGTGAGATATTACAGATAAGGAAATGAGATCGAGGTAATTGTTCCTCAGGCCTTAAGGCAAATTTGGGCTCTAATTTTAGCTTCACCAAATCCTCCAGCAGTGAAGAGTGAAAGGTTACCCTCCTTCCCTGCCATGGTGTTATTGCCAATATTTTGCCTGCCCTGATCTCCAGATAAGACTTGTTTTTATCTCAAATTGGTGGTGGTACATTGCAGTATATCCCCTTCTATTTACTACAGGATCTTCCATTAGTCTGAGTCTCTTAAGATTCTTCCACAGAATCAGGGAGGGAAAGATCTTTTCAGCTAGCAGATTTACAAGCTTTTTGTATTAGCACTGTTAGAAAACTATGTTACTGAAACCTTTAATTATTAAAACATGCAGAATTGATGTATATGTGGTGCTTTAGCGGGGAAAAAAAAGAGTGCAAGGAGTTTGAGGTAAGAACAAAGTACATGACAATCCTTCAGTTAAAAGAAGGTGTGGAGATAGAAATGATGAATGTAAAGACTGCCAGAGGAATTTTCTGGCAAACTGCAAGACAGATGAGGTGCACATTGTGAATTTAAATTAGGATCATGACTTTAAGTAGTAAGGGCAGCATGAACGAGAATGTGCTCCTTCCCCCATGATGTGAGACTCCCTCTAATGTCAGTAATGCCAAACTCCCTCCTTCCTCTGTGATGCAAGATGATCTCCATCTTCTATGATGCCAGACTTCCTCTTACCTCTGTCACACCAGTCTCCCTCTTACCTTTGGGATAAGACTCCATTCTCCATTAGTGAAGATTTCCTGCTTTTTTTCTATGACATCAGATTATTTCTTTCCTCTGTGATATCAGATTCCCTCCTTAATCTTTGATACCAGACTCCCTCCTTCCTACAGGACGCCACATTCCCTCTTACCTCTATGATGTCCAACTCCGTGATGTCAGACCCCTCTCTTCCTTCCTCATTGATGCCAGACTCTCTTCTTCCTTCATGGTGCCAGACTCACTCTTCCCTGTGTGTGAGACTTTCTCCTTCCTCAGTGTGAGATGACCTCGATCCACTGTGATGTCAAATTTTCCCACACTTCTTCCTTTTCCCATGATGCCACCACTCCTCCTTCTTCGATGATGTCTGACTCCCTCTGACCTCTATGAGAGACTCATTACTTCATCTATTATTTCAGATTTCCTTCTTTTCCTAGGACACCAGACTCCCTAGCCACAAAACCTGCATACTCCAAGTTAAATGCAAGAACTGTACAAAATAATATATAAGAGAATCAACTCATATTGCCTAGATCTGTAAGTGTAAAAGAAGAAAAGAATATTAAATGTGGCTATGGAAACAGGAAGAGATCAAAACTTGTTGTCTCCCTTTGAAGACTTCATTCCCAACAAGGAAAGGAACTTTGAATGATGCCAGAGGAGGGGAACAGATGGTAGCCATCATTTTCTGTCAAATAACTGCAACACCAAAAGGATGTGCCAGAGTAAACACGTAACAAGAACAATCCTTGCTACTTTATCTCTCCCTTAATAACAATATTTAAGTTCTGTTTGGATTCATGGCCTTCATCTAGAAAAGTGCACTACCTGTACCCACCAGATGAGAGCAATTAACACTCTTGATGAAGCACCCAAGAGGGCTTGGTCCTCCAACAGAGCTTGGGTTTTGAGTCAACATACATGGGTGTTTTCCTGGGAGGAAGACTTGTCTTCTATCAGACAGCAAAGCCCACCCAGGCTGCAGATACAGAACAAACAGGGAGAGCAAGAGTTGTGTGTCCTAACTACAGAATTCACAAGATGAACAAAATTTGACTGCTGGGTGCAATAAATGTGAGGAGAATTGCTTGAGACAAAAAGAACAGCAAACTCCAAAAGTTTGCTGAGCCCTTTCTTGTCCCATGGATTACACCTAATAATCTCCTGCAGAGATGTTTCAAAATAAAAGCTGGAGGAATGTTAGGTGACAGCTCACTTTTCAGAGAGAAAACCTAGCAAACAGCTCCTGTTCTTTAATCCAGCAGGATCCCTCCATAAACATGATCACAGGTCATTTTCTTCATTCTGGCAAATGCACTATCAGAGAGAACAACTAACAGAGCATGACTACCACAATTCAATATTCCCAAAAATATTCCCAGCCCTGCCAATCAGAAAGCATTTAATCAATAACAACGTTCTTAAATAGATATAAAAACTTATAATGCTGCTTAAAAGAACCAACCATAAACCCCAGGGTATATTCAAGTCACTGTCAGCCATCCTGCCATGTCTAGCATGACCAAGATATTAAAGCAAATGCCACTTTAGAAGAAGATGTTTTGTGCTTTACTGTTTATGTAAATACCCATTTACACACACAATGATATTTTTAATTAAAAATAATGTGTGCAGAGGAAGAATCCAGGACTTTTTCAACAGAAGTATTCAGGAGGGAAAAAAGTATTTTCAACATTAATTACAAGCAGACCAAAGCTCTTCAGAGAGAAGCAAGATGCTCTACTTTCCAAGTGACTTTTCTTCAGGGACTTACACAGTAATTAGAGATCTATTTGCCACATTGGAACTTGCACTTTAAAAAAGACTGCCCTGGTTCTGGGATTATGCATGGCATGAAGAAAATACACTTTCAGGCTCAATGAAATAGTTCACATTCTACCACACAGGTAAGGCTTTACCTCTGCTCATCTGGCCACAGAATTTGAATACTCCAAATATAATGCAAGAAATGTGCATAGGAACATGTAAGATAATCAATTTACTTTGCCTAGAGCTATAAGCTGTACTTCACCTACCACCCCCAGCTCTGCTTTGCCACTTCTCCACTGACAAACTACTTGACAAACTATTACTGAAGCAACAAGAATTTCTGGGAGTATTACCATTCCAGAATTATTATGCCTAACAGTTTCATTTACCTGTTGTAATTACTCAGAACAAATTGGTCCTTCCACTAAGGAGCCTGAGCTTGTTTCACAGTGCTTACAAGATTAAAACATTGCCATTTGATGCCTACAAATCCTGGGTAGGTCTGAAAGCCTTGTTGAAACCCTGGATAAATAAACAGGCTGAAAGGAATGGCATTGCCCTACAGAATGCCCAAATACTTAAACTACAGTAAATCAACAGAGGGCAAAAAAGCCTTTTAAAACACCCAGTAATCCAAAGCCTATTTTGGGCAATTCATACAGACAAATTGCATGTGGATTCTGGCTGCACTGGCCAACCAACGCTCTATTTCAAATTATTTACTTCAATGCTATGATCACGTGAAATAAAGTAACAAACTCTGGGGAATTAAAAAAACAACGGAGTTTAGCAAATCCCACACAAGTTTGAATGATTTTTTTAAAAAAAATTTTTGGCTGGAAATGAATTCAGACTGGAAAAGATGTAGAAAAAAAGAGCAATGAACTTGCAGCTGTGCCAGGACCTTCCCCACAAAGACTTCAGCTCTGACAAAGATCTAATCCCTGTCCTTGGACAACTTCAGCTGTGGATTGATTTTCAAAGCTGCTTAATTGCTTTTGGGGACTATCTTCCATCGATTTTCAGTAAGCATTAGCAATCTGTGCACTCAAGGCTCAGCTTTAGCTTACTTCAAACAGGAGTAATATCCGCTTCAGGGGAGAAGCACAGCATCTCCGAAGAGTACTGCCAATCAAAATATGAACCCTGCTTTTGTGGCTCTCTGAGTAACTCTGAGACATTGGCTTCTAAGGCTGATTCTATCTTGTATGTTCACCTAAAATTACTAGGCAATTTCTCTTACTTTAGATAAAGCAAGGCTAGAAAAAGGAGGGAAGAGAAAGCAGCCTAATTCAATAGGGCTGGAAAATTAAGCTATGCATTTGAAAATTGTATGTTTTAACTCCTGGGCAATCAAAATCCCAACTGAATTCTGACAAGCTAAACCCAGCTTGAGCAGAGTACATAACTTGCTTAGTCTTTGCAGATTGCTCAGTTATGCAACAAAATATAGGCATTAAACTTACACGGTTCTCTTTTCATGCCTAAAACGCTTGTTCAGCAAAGGGAATTATGCATAAAGTACTCAATCAAACTATCTTTAAAACTGGCAAAATTATCCATAAATAAATAAAACTTCGATTTCATATCCCCATTTAGAAATGTGCAAATAAACAAAACTGAAACCATTTGCATGCCAATAGTTAAAGCCACGTACTTTAACTAAACAGGGAAACCTGGCCACATTCCCGAGGAACGCTAAATAAAATTGTTGTTCCCATAAGCACTGCTAAGTCCCGCTTATCAGGGACCTTACCCTGGAAAAGCACTCCTGGCTCCAGCTGCTGGGAATGCCACATACGCTCCCCTGCCAGGAATGCAGATCAGGGCCTTCCAGTTCCCCAAATGAACAAAAACTCCCCAGCGGACCCAGCGCGTTATTCACACTTGAACAATTCCCATTGTTCGCAATCCGTGGAGCAGCAGCTGCGGAGCACCGCGCGTTCTTTAAATCCCTGGCATTTACGGACCGTGGGCTCGGCCACTCGGGATGGCTCGGAAAAGCGCTTTCCTTTCCCGCACGGGGAGCCGAAGCTCCTCTCCCCGCCGGGGCACCGCTCGCATCCCACCGGGGACCTTCCCAAGCCGAGCCCGTCCCGCCGCACCGCGCCCGTCCCATCCCGGCGCCGCGCCCGCCGCCCGCTCTCACCTGCCGGGCCGGAGCGGCACCGCGCCCCCCGAGCCTCCCCAGCCCGCCGGGAGATGTAGTGCTGCCCGGGGCCGGGGACAGAGGCTCCGGAGCGGCGCGGGGTCGCGCAGGTCTGTCCCCGCAGCCCCCGCCCGGGTTTGTCCCCGGCAGAGCGGGGCACGGCCCTGCGCTACCCCTGCGAGCGGCCCGGCGGCTCCAGCGCGGCGGCGGAGCGGGAGAGAGAGACAGACTGCGCCCAACAGAAGGAAAGGGATGAAAATGCATCTGACAGGGCTGCCCGTTCCCTGAAACCGTGTTCTCCAAACCTGGGCAGAGAGATCTAAACAAGCCCCAGAAGGTCAAACTGTAGCAACTCATCCCACCAGGAAAAACATACCAAGCAAACGTTAAACTCTTCATCTCTGAGGTTTTTCCATTCAGTCTCAGTTTTCACCTATTACTTCACTCCTAAATCCAATCTTCTTTTTTTCCATCACCTCTGTTATAAACAAAACAGCCTGGCTGGGACACTTGGCTCGAACTAAGTAATGACATTGAAATGTTAATTAGCTAATTGCTCCTGGGAATCACCTACAACCCCACCCACGCTAGGACCGGGATGCAAAATAATCCAGTGGAATTATGGGAGGGGGTTTTGGGCATGAAAAACACCCCTAAAATGGAAGGCTGGGCACAGTGGAGGGGGCTGGATGGGTGTGCTGGTTGGGGAAAAGGGAACCACATCTCTAGTCTGTGTTTGATCTGTCACCATAACCTGCAGAGGACCAGACTGGACTGGGTTGTGGGAAGCAGAACAAGGGAGCATGCTTCGTGGTGTTACCAGGAGGGAAAGAAAGGGTATGGTTGCTGCTGGACTTCGGCAGCAGGCTCTGCACATCCCCTCACCCTGTGGCTACCAGAGTGCCACAGAGACTCCAGGGACAGACTCTGCACACCTTCTTCCCCCTTCGGCTACTGGAGAAGCTTCAAGAGCGGGGGCGAGCTCCGTGTCGAGCCTCCTGCCGAGCTGACTTTTTAATGAAGAGCTGAACATTAATAAAGGCATAGACCCTGCTCATTTCAACCTCCATGCCATCTCAGCTCCTCCT